CTCCTCGTACAAACCGTCTCCCTCAAAAACATAACCAACGCCGCCGTATCCTCAGCCTCGGCATCGACGTCATTCCGTATCTCAAGCGAAAACTTGCTCAGTCCCCTCAGCCGCCGGAGCGGGCCATGCCACTCCGCCTGCAACGACCGAACCTGGCCCTGAGGCAGCGACACCAACACCAGCATCAGATCCCTGAGGCCATGCATTTGCGTCGCCAGGATGTCGTAAAATTCGTCGTAGACTTTCCTCTCCTCGTCCCTACAGCTACTACCCGGGGGGCCCCGCAGCATCGACGCGGCCGGCGCGTTTGGTTGGGCAACCCCCCTCCTCCTACCCCTACCCCTACCCCTACCCCTACCCCTGCTGCTTGTGTTGTTGCTGTTGCTGATGATCCCAGACGCGAGCGCGGGGGGGCTTGAATTCTGCGCCTGCTGGAGATGCACAGGCGCGCGGAGGGATCTGACGTGCGCCAGATTCTCGGGCCCGATGAGCTTGGCGAACACATTCCACGTCTCCTGCAGCGAGACTCGGAAAACAGGCGCGGAGTAGAAGAGGGGCGCAGCCTCCTTGTGGATCTGGCGACATGTCAGGAGCAGGCTGGAGATGTGCGGCCTTTCTACCGAGAATGGGGCGTAGATATAGTAGTAATCACCCTCGCGCTCGTGGGGCGCCGGTCCGCTCCGCAGGGGTATTCGGAGATGACTGATCCGGCCCTTGTTGTGCAAGAGGTGGATTGTGTCGCGGGCGAAAACGAGTTTGTAGATCAAGACGCGGATTTCAGGCGGGAGTCGGGTGAGAAAGGGCGATTCCTGTTTCGCCTGGGGTGAAGGGGTGGTCGTCGGTGTGCGTCCTGCAGTCTTGGACCAAAAATTACGGAACCTGAAGTTCAACTTCAACATTTCTGCGGAGGCGAGTCCTAAGCCTTTGTATAAATGCTATTATTTTAGAAAAGGAGATAGTAAAATACTATGGGTTTGTCTAAGATATCGAGCTCGTTGAAGGTGATGTAGAAGTGTTAAATAGTAACTCCTGTGCAGCGGCAGCGGCCACGGCGGCGGAGGCCAAGATCAAATAAAATAAACATGAAGAATAGAAATAAATTCCGGGGCCTAACGTGATGCTTCCAAAGGAACGAAGCAATTGAATATCCTGATTCCCGATGGCTAATAATAGAGATTCAGAAGAGCCGTTTCCATGCAGCCATCGACATCATCATCAGCCTTCGAAGTCAATGTCCCAGGCCACCGGATAAAGGAGGCTGATCAAGGCCCAGCATCGGGGCCAACGTTGGAAGCTCGTTGCAGATGAGCTGTTCGACAAGCGGCACCGAGCTCCCAAGTCTGAGCTGCCAGAAATGCGTTGGTGTTGTCTCTGGTGAAGTTTCTTGACGAGGCTTTGGGCTGTGATTGGCTTGTGCAACCAATTGGCACTTGTGTTTAACTAGACATTGGAGTCTCCAGGCAGACGAGTAACTTGAGATCTGCTGTTCCTGAAAAGTCTCAGAATTATCTTTATGGTTATAAATAGTTGAAACATCATATTCTAGACTGTAGCCAT